TCATGCATCCCATAACGAAACCAGAGTGCTGTCCTGATGATTTTCTTGTGCCTGGGTCACCAGTCTTTTAGCTCTTCTTATACCTCAAATCCCCTCTATACACTGGAGGGAGCCACGGAGGAGGCGAGGTGACTGCCTGAGGCAGGACAGGAAATCAGTCATGAAAAGCAGCACCAAGCCGTCTGCACTGGCCACCTCTGTGCTTTTCCCACACCTTAGCGCCACACAGAGCGGCACTGAGCTGCAGGCAGCAATTACCCACAATGCTATCACCTCATAACCCAGATGGCCCAAGTCTCTCTCAGACTGTGCTCAAAATCCTTGAAAGCAGACATGATCCCCTGGAGTAATGCCCTTACTCTCTTGCACCCAGAGGGTTCCCCAGAATTGCTGATGGATGGTCTCTCATGAGGCAGCTTTCTCAACATTCTTTTTCCCTTGGCCCGTAGATGTGTGTTTGAAAAGTCGTCCAGGGTTCCGTGCTGACTGTACCTGGTGCAAGTGACGCTGTCGCTAGTCACCACTGTGTTCCTATCCGAGACTGTGGGTCAGCAGCCCAAGAGCTGTTTCTCTGTGTCTTCACCTTGACCGCCTTCCAGCCAAGAAGAAATGACCTTCCCAGGAAGGACCTGGCCAAGCACGGCCAGCATCCTTCCACTCCGATGAGTCTCCCACACTTTGGTGTAATCCCCATTGCCTCTTAAGTGAGGCCAGGCTAGGGACTTTTCTCTAGTGCACGCAATATGGCAAAAGCCACAGGTTGTCACTTCAGGATTAGGCTACAAAGACCGTGGCTTCCCTCTCGTAGTCTGGGTCATTCTTCCTCTCAGTTTCTCTCACCTGCACTCCAAGCTCTCTTTCCTTCTGGGCTTTTGCTCTGAAGGAAGTTTCATGTTTTGAGGGCCCTTAGGAGAAGTCTGAATGAGGAGAAATTGATGGCTTTGGCCACCACCTGAGGCCTGGCCAGATGCCATTCGAGTCTGAAAGTGAGTCCTTCAATGAAGTCATAACTAACACTCTGCTTGCAAAGAGGAGATGGACTCCAAGCTGCGGCAAGCTGAGTGTACCCAGATTCCTGACACTCAGAAACTGTCAGATACCAAATATTGGTTATTTCTAAGTTGTCAAATTGAGGGGGGGTACTTGTTATACAACAATAAATAACTCATAAAACTCTTAACCAACGAAGAATCTACTGTATAAATCATCTCGGCCCATGCACCACACATGAGCACCATTACGGTATGGCCTTCCTCTTCTTCAATCTGGACATCTCTAACTTCCACCACATTTGAAAGTACTTTAAAGATAAAACCGTTCCCTTTTGGACGGAGAACAAGCCAACACGCTAAACTAAGACGAACACAAGCTGATGGCAAGCTGGCAGTTGGATATCTCAAATTTTCAGGGTTATAATGTCAAAACTATCTGCCAAAAGAGAGGCCAGAGACAGGAGTGTGTGTTCCAAGATGCCCTTTCTGGTCTTTCATGAACGATTCTTGCAGCCAGAGTTTCATTCCAACCACAGGACCGTGGCACCACGTGGCCATTTTCAAATCTGCCCTGACATCAGAATGCCATTCAGCTAGATAAACCTGGGACTTGGCCAAGATAAGTAGTACTTGAAAAGATGGAGCTAATGACTACCACCACTTTCTTTGGGGCCATATATGACTATGGTGTGAAGAAATAAAAGGCTTTGTTGTTTTAAAGGGCAGGGACATTGGAAGTTCTGCAGCAGACAGTTACAAAATTTTCCAGCCCTGGCTTTCCAAAGAAGATACCAGTAAGAGCCTCTGGGAGCTGGGTGTGGGAGGCGTTGCTGGGAAAGAAAATTAATCCTGGGGAGAAGGTAAACCAGCATCTGCACACTTGCCAGAGAACCCAGGCAGGCTCGGCCCCTGACACTGTGAACTTACCTTTTCCGGCCTACTGCTTTATACCATGGCTCCTTAAAACCACAGCATTTTTGTTTCTGTTTGTTTTTAATCACAGCATTTGACATCAGGCAAACACAGAAAGCTAGAGCATCACCTCTCACAAACAGTAGTCTGTCTGTCAGTCTCTCTCTCTCTCTCTCTCTCTCTCTCTCTCTCTCTCTCTCTCTCTCTCGTGGGTGGGGGATTATCTGGATTAGGACCTCACTAAGTAGCTCTCTGGAATTCACTAGGTAGACCAGGCTGGCCTCGAGCTCATGGAGACATGCCTGCCTCTGCCTTCCCAAGTGCTGAGATTAAAGGCATTCCACGCTACAATCGGCACAAACAGTAAATTCTTATTTTCTTGGAGTAATTTTGGATTGAGGTTTTTTGTTGTTGTTGTTTGTCTATTTTGGTTTGGCTTGGTTTTTTGTAGTATGAAGGATTGAATCTGGGGCCCCTCTCACACACTAGGCGATTGCTCAATACTGAGCTACAGCCCCAAGCCCAGACTGAGTGTTGCTGTTCTTGTTTTAAATCATCTTTACAAACAGTCTCCACACCCCAGCTCCTCAACTCTCCCCCTGCCTCTCTACTACTTCTGCATTTATCTGCCTGGGACAGGGCAAAAGGACGCAACAGCTGTGACATTCCCATCTAGGATGGGTTTCCTGCACCTCGTGCACAGATCACTTTAAAAATATTGCATTTGCTTCTTCTATATTGGCTCATCCCACCCCCTCTTCCTAAATCATTATTCCTGTTGCCTAACATCAGAAGCTGTCTGGGACTATAAGGATGAGTAGGCTCATCAACGAACTGGGTTTGGTTGCATTTGAGGCAGAGTTCTTGCCTGTCAGTTTTCATTTGACTTGACGACCAGCACGCAGAGAGGAGTTAGATCAGTGGCCTAATGAATAAGCATGAAAATTTGATTCCAAAAAGGAGGACATCCTGAACCCCGTGGGGACAAGAAAGGAATCCAAGCCCCACCACCCACACTCTCAATGACAAAGCAAAACAGCTCGGATGCCTCCAACATCTCCCAGCAAACAGCAACACACACAATGGTCGAGGATAAGAAAGGATTTAGAAAGCAGAAGATGGAGTCCTGAAGAAGGTACACTTTTAAAAAAGGAAAATGTTGCCTATTCATCTTTATGGCTCTGAGGCAGATACTCAAAGGGGGGTGGGTGGGTGGAATCTGGTATGAAGGGTAACCTGATGCTTAGAAGGAAAGTAGTGATTTCTATCGCAGGCCAGATGGGGGTGTCAACCGTCTGACAAGGGCCTCTGCTCTTTAGACCCACTAATGGGGGCACAAAAGAACTCTAACGTGGAAGGAAAGAGTTCAGCAAACCTCTGAGATAAAGTAAATAAAAGAAAGTTACAAGAAGCCCACATCTGGAAGAAAAGGGAATCCAATTGTCTTAAATTTAAGAATCAGCTTTTTCCTAGATGGAGAAACTGTATCCTGCAGGCAGTGACTTCTGCCAGCATTCAACATTCAAACTGATCAAAAATCTCTCAAGCACCAACAGCCCACTGAGACAGGGAGAAGGACTCAGCCAGGAATAACGCTTTTTAGAGTGAGGCTGCCGAGGCGACAGAGACATTCAACGATGCAGCTTGTCACTTCCCTGCATGGGAATTCATAATATTCATGATATTCCTTGCTGGCCCCTCTGAGAGGGCAGAGGCCCCTTAGTAACTTCCGACCCGTCCGGGGCAGCCAGACAACGCGCACGAGCGCCCAGTGCCTGGAGCAGGGTGAAGATTTGACCGAGAACAAAAGAACGCTTGCCAATCAGAAAACGCTACCCCAGAAGGAAAATAACCCCTCTTTGTGTCTCGAAAGCCCTTTAATTAGCAAATGCCCTGGTTTCTAACGCGCATTAAAAACTTTTTCTATGTAGATTCCAAGTGAAAGATCAAATGGTTGTTTCTGCAACGAAGATGAGATCCCCGAAGGCCACACACCGCAGAACGGAGGAAAAACAGGGCAACCGAAGGCGCTCAGTATAAATCGTACAGAGAGTTCCGGGGCACTCGGTCTCAGGTTACTTTCGTAAGCATTCCCCCAGCGCTGCCTTAGCCTTCTCCAAAACCCCCCGGAACCTCTTCTCGGGCTCCCCGTGCGCGCGGGCGGGGTGGCTGGCTCTCGAGTCTCTCGCACCCCCAGCTCTGGGCCCTCTCCTCCGAGGGTCTGCACTTCCTCCCGCCACAAGTTCCCCTCCCACCCGGGCCGCGTCGGGTTTCTCCTTCCAGGTGGCCCCCCTCTTTGTAACTGGGGGGGAGGGAGAGAGAGGGGATTTGTGGCTTCATGTGGCCGTTTGGGGTATGGGGAGAGAGAGAGAGGGAAAAAAAAAGCGATCCTCAGTCGCACCCCCTTCTGGACCCACACTGATGCTAACCAAAAGCCTCCCGCCCAAGCCAGCCAGGCAAGGCTAACGTGACTCCCGGTCACGTCTCTCCGCCCCAGCGCTGCGCTATTCTCAGCTTCTCGCCAAAGCCTTTTGGCGAAGGCGCCCTTCCGCTCAGGAATGTGTGTTTTAGGGTACCCGGAAGACGAACTGATCTTTCAGGCAAAGATCCCTTTCTGGTGTGCGTTCTTCTCCCCTGAGCAAATTCTGGGTAAAAGTTTTCCCTAACTTTTTTTTTTTTTTTTTTTCCTCTCCCGGTTCCCCCGCCCCTCCCCTCAGGAATCCGCCCAGAGCGCTCCAGGCCCCGCCCCCCCTCGTTCCCTCGGCCGCCCCTTCCGACTTCCAGCCAATCGGAAGGCGGCGACAGAGAAAACAAAGCGCGCTATTGGGCCTCCGGAGGGCTCGGGGCCCGCCCCCATGGAGTGGTTTGTGAATGGGGGGAGGGGAGGGGGCGGGGCGGCCCGAATCCCTGCGAGCCCGACGCTTCTTCTAGCCACCAGCGCGGCTCCCAGGCGTTACTCTGCGCTCCTTCCCGGGCGGGCGGCGGCGGCGGCGGCGGCGGCGGGCGGCGG